GCGGGGCCCGAGCTGTGCGCCTCGGCCCGAAGCCTGGACCGGGCGGGGTCGCCGACGTACCTCTGCCTGCCCTTTCAAGGAGGCGGGAGTGAGGAAAAAGGCTTAGGGCCCAGGGGGCGGGGAAGGGGGGCCGGGCCTGGATCCGCGGGGAGGCCGAGCCAAAGGCCTGATCGTGGCTCGAGCCGTCCGGGGGACACGAATCGAACGCTGACCGCGCGGATCGAACGTCGGCGGCGGGTGGAACGCGGTGCTTGACGGCGCGTGGGCCATGGCGTCTGTGCAGGCGTCCCGCCGCCAGTGGTGCTACCTGTGCGACCTGCCCAAGATGCCATGGGCCATGGTGTGGGACTTCAGCGAGGCCGTGTGTCGCGGCTGCGTGAACTTTGAGGGCGCGGATCGCATCGAGCTGCTCATAGACGCTGCCCGCCAGCTTAAGCGCAGCCACGTGCTCCCCGAGGGCCGCTCGCCGGGGCCCCCGGCCCTCAAGCACCCGACCACCAAGGACCTGGCTGCGGCAGCCGCACAGGGGCCCCAGCTGCCTCCTCCGCAAGCACAGCCCCAGCCGTCTGGGACTGGCGGTGGCGTCTCCGGCCAGGACCGCTATGACAGGGCCACATCATCCGGCCGCCTCCCCCTGCCCTCGCCCGCCCTCGAGTACACCCTGGGGTCCCGCCTGGCCAATGGGCTGGGCCGCGAGGACGCCGTGGCGGAGGGGGCGCGAAGGGCCTTACTTGGCTCCATGCCCGGCTTGGTGCCCCCCGGGCTGCTGGCAGCTGCGGTGTCTGGCCTGGGAAGCCGAGGACTGACGCTGGCACCCGGTTTGAGTCCTGCCCGTCCAATCTTCGGCTCCGATTTCGAGAAGGAGAAGCAGCAGAGGAATGCGGACTGTCTGGCAGAACTGAACGAAGCCATGCGGGGCAGAGCAGAGGAGTGGCACGGGCGCCCCAAAGCAGTGCGGGAACAGCTGCTGGCCCTGTCTGCCTGCGCCCCCTTCAATGTCCGCTTCAAGAAGGATCACGGGCTGGTGGGGAGGGTATTCGCCTTCGATGCTACAGCCCGCCCGCCGGGCTACGAGTTTGAGCTGAAGCTCTTCACCGAATATCCCTGTGGTTCTGGCAACGTGTACGCAGGAGTCCTGGCGGTGGCCCGCCAGATGTTTCATGATGCTCTGCGGGAGCCTGGCAAGGCCCTGGCCTCGTCGGGCTTCAAGTACCTCGAATATGAACGCCGGCACGGCTCTGGGGAATGGCGCCAGCTGGGGGAGCTGCTAACCGATGGTGTCCGCAGCTTCCGTGAGCCAGCCCCCGCCGAGGCCCTGCCTCAGCAGTACCCAGAGCCAGCTCCGGCAGCTCTGTGTGGCCCACCCCCGCGAGCCCCATCCCGCAACTTGGCACCCACTGCGCGCCGTCGCAAGGCATCCCCTGAGCCTGAGGGCGAGGCGGCTGGTAAGATGACCACCGAAGAGCAGCAGCAGCAGCAGCAGCAGCAGCAGCGACACTGGGTGGCACCCGGTGGTCCGTACTCCGCTGAGACCCCTGGTGTGCCCTCACCCATCGCTGCCTTGAAGAATGTGGCGGAGGCCCTGGGCCACTCTCCCAAAGACCCTGGGGGCGGTGGAGGCCCTGGACGTGGTGGGGGTGCCAGCCCAGCAGCCTCCTCCACGGCCCAGCCTGCAACCCAGCATCGCCTAGTGGCCCGCAACGGTGAGGCCGAAGTCAGCCCCACCGCGGGGGCGGAAGCTGTTAGCGGAGGTGGTAGCGGCACCGGGGCAACCCCTGGGGCCCCCCTGTGCTGTACCCTATGCCGGGAGCGGCTGGAAGACACCCACTTCGTCCAGTGCCCCTCGGTGCCCGGACACAAGTTCTGCTTTCCCTGCTCACGAGAGTTCATCAAGGCGCAGGGCCCCGCTGGCGAGGTGTACTGCCCCAGTGGAGACAAGTGCCCGCTGGTGGGCTCCTCTGTCCCCTGGGCCTTCATGCAGGGCGAGATCGCCACCATCCTTGCTGGAGACATCAAGGTTAAGAAAGAACGGGACCCCTAGGCCACCATTGCCACCATTCTACTGTCCCCTGCCCCCTTGCCACCCACCGCTGCTGCGGATAAATTATTCCCTTTCCCACCCAACCCAATGCCACCCCCACCTGTGTACATACTCCCTTCCTCATCCCAGTTGGGTCCCCCAGGGTAGATGCATTGAGGGTGGGGGGAGAAAGCTCGTGGCTTCTGTCCGAGGGGGTGTTTGGGGTCCCTTGACCCCTCCAATTTCCCTCTCCCCTCCTTAGCTTGGCTTGCTGCTGCTCGTAGTTGGGGGAGAGGTGCCCCCCTCCTCCTTCAGAAGGGGCCTCCTGGAAATTTCGCTCTTTATAAATGAAGCAAAAGCATTTTATTGCCCCCCGCCTCCTGCCCCCTTTTCTTCCTTCAATAAACCGAAAGATGGGTTTTTTTTTTCTTTCTTGGTCCCTTAGTTGTGTGAGATGCTGCGCCCCCTTTGGGACGGAACTGGTCCTGCGGGGGGAGGACATTGCCTTCTGTC